ATATACCCTAATCATCCAACCACCAAATACACATAATTAAGCCTCAATTAAGCCTAATTAGTCCCCAAAATGTCCAATTCAAAGTCCTTAGCAATTGAACCCAATTAGTGAAACACTTAGGCAAATTACACAATTTCGGTACTGTATGAACAGTACCAGGGCAGGACACATTTTGCCCACTAAACCACAATTAAACACCCTCATTAGGCTCTAGTCTCAAACCCTAATCACCCAACAACCAAATACACTTAATTAAGCTTCAAATAAGCCTAATTAGCCCCTAAAATGTCCAATTCCAAGTCATTAGCACTTGAACTTAATTAGTACAAAACTTAGACAAAAATGCACAATTTCGGTACTCAATGAACAGATTGAACAGGGTCATTTTAGGCCTTAATCCACCATTAAACTATCTCATTAGGTCCTAATGACCTATACAAAACACCCCACACACAATTAAGCCTAATTAAACCCCAATTAGGCCTAATTAACCCCTAAAAATGCACAATTAAACTAATTAGGGGTTTAGGGGTTTATACTCGCCTAAAATCGACTCGAGGCGACGGGAGCGGGCGATCTATTACCGACACGCGGTGAGAATCGACGGCGGCGCTCGGGGGCCAAGCCGGCGGTCACGGCGGCGCCGGCGGGGTGATGACCGGCGGTGGCCCTCACGGTTCCGCCTGGAACAGCAGCAGGTGTGGACGGCGATTAAGGTGGGTGAGGGAGGTCGATGGAGGCTGGAGTGACTTCCAGTGGGGGCGTGTGGTGACTGGCGGTCAGCAGCTCCGACGGCGTGGCTATTTCCGGCGTGAACAGTGCCGGTTGTGCAGCACGGCAGAGGAACGGCAAGGAGGGGAGGACGACCGTGAAGGCTGGTCGGGGGGGAGAGAACGTGAGCTGAGGCAGACTGAGGAGAAAGAAGAAGCAGGTCAAATGTGGTCAAACTTGGGTGAGTGGAATCCATTTGTCAAAAATCGAAGGGTTTGGACAATTTGCCCTTTAATCCAATGGCCTAGGCTCATTCTCCTCCAATAATGCAAGGGTATAATGGTCAAATACCCCTAACCAAGGCTGACCAGGTCTGGTTTGGGCTTCTTAACCTTAGTTAGGCTCCGTTCGTTTGGCGGAAAATATTCTTCCGGAAAATATTTTCCGGGTTTTCCGGTGTTCGGAGGGCGGAAAACGTTTTCCGTGGGAAAATATTTTCCTTCCCCCCTCACAAAATAGCCTAAGTCTATGGAAAATGACTTCCGCTTCTTCAAAAGCGGAAATCATTTTCCAGAGCTTCTTCTTCTTCTTCTTCTTCACTAAGGTCGCCGGCCGCCACCGCCGCCGGCCGCCGCCGGTTGCCAACGCAGCCGCCGGCCGCCGATCGCGCCGCTGGCCGCCCCCCCGCGGCGCCGCCTCCGCCGGCCACTGGACATTGGCCGTCGGTCGCCGGCCGCCGGTGAAAAATATTTTCCGAAACTTTTTCATATTGGTCGCCGAACACCGGAAAATTATGTTCCGGGAAAACATTTTCCAGGAAAATGACTTCCGGGAAAATATTTTCCAAAAGGAGAATATTTTCCGCCAAACGAACGGAGCCTTAGTCCCCAAAATTTATCCAAAATTCGGAATAAATTAAAATGGCCTAAGGGCATTTTCGTAATTTTCCGATCCCGGACTGAAATTCCAATTTTTGTCCATACCGGTCCTATATATTCACGGTAGACATAATATGGTGTCGGATCCTTAAAATTCATCCTTTAAGCCCTCGAAAATCAGTCCAAAAGTTTGGAGGGGCAAAACCGTAAATTCTCATTTTTCTCCCACCAAACGGCGTCGGATTAATTCCGATCCTTCACGGAACTTTCTCGCCATAAAATACTGGTTCCAAAAACCCAACTTGCGTCCCGAACCAGTCATCACAGCCCCGTGAACAATAATTCACAGCTTGTGAACAGTGATTCGCAGCATATGAACAGTAATTCGCAGCCCCTATTAATCCGAATTTCCAATAAATATTACCCAATTTAATTCCTAAGGCCCACCATAAAATTTCCACTGCCCATTCACGTAATTCCGCACCTAATTCCATACTGATTTTGCCCAAAATCGCCCGTCGATACCCGAAGTCCAAAATTGTGTTTAGAGCGCGACTTACTAAAATCAAACGAGCATTAACATATACTTCATTGGTCCCGGTAACGGGTCAAAATTCAGGATGTTACAACGACGATCAACCATACTGACAATCATATGCGATCCTACCTGAGACTCATCATGCACGTCCCTGCAAGTCAAATAATAACACAGCCAACATGCCACAATGATGCATCACAGCTGCGCGTGTGCCTCGATTATAAGGCCAAACCCACTTGAGCACGTCCCATACCATGCCTAGCAGATTTTTCCCCATAATCGAGCACTACAACACGCGATACAACCACACTCGCACACGAACTCACACTACGCGTCAACTTTCACAATCCTCACATGTCAAGCCAAATTCATCTCATCCCCAACTTTTCCATCACTACCGCGCCCGCGTAAAACGCATCAGGCCAACGATCTTCTGACCTCGTCAAGCATCGTCACCCCGTCGGGCCGGGCATCGTCACCTCGTCAGGGACGGCATCGTCCCGCGTAAACGAACACGCCTCAGGACGGAATCCTACACTCTCACTTCCGTATCTACCGCTCCCGCGTAAAACGCATCAGGCCAGCGGTCTTCTAACCTCATCAGGCATCGTCACCCCGTCGGGCCGGGCATCGTCACCTCGTCAAGGACGGCATTGTCCCGCGTAAACGAACACGCCTCAGGACGGAACCCACCTCGCGTAAACGAACACGCCTCAGGGTACCACTTTTCCAACCATTCCAATCATCTCATATCATCGTACCACACGAGCCACGCGACAACCCATATCACACTGCCACACAATCAGATGCCCCACATACATTTCATTATCACACAATCACACCACACGGTCACACATACCCGAACATTAATTCAATGCACCCAATTCAACCATTTCAATTCAGCCCCTAGAACATACAAACAAACATTCAGGCATCAATTCCCGTCACGAGGGCAGTTTACACAGTGACCGAAATCCCATCAAAATAAATAGTAAACGAACTCCAAAAATTCTAAATTTTGGATATATCATAAAAAAACATCTTGATAAACATTTCTTATGAAGAACACGAAACCCGGTTCAATCTACAACCATGCATTTTTGTCCCTCGAAATCAAACCAAAATCAGTTCGATCTAACAGACTGTTTTGTCCTCAAAATACATTTCTTTCAACACACAAATCACCTTGAAAAGCTTTGAAATTTTTATATGTTATAGAAAAGAAAGTCGTCAACAACTTTTGTGAAGGAAGTTTATTGAAAATAAATCTGGAAAATTTTATAAAAATTCGACCAGACAAGAAGGTCGGGATGAACAGTGTTCCGGGCAGTATTAATACGGTCTGAAAATGGATTTTCATGCGACCCAAATGGCCTCCAAAAATTCCAAATTTAAAATATGTTATACTTCAAGATGTTGGGAGCAACTTTCATGAAGAAAACTTCCTCAAATTCGGCCCCCAAAATTCTCCACAAAAATAGCAAACCGGACGGGTACAGTAGTCACGAATCCGAGAATCACACCAAATCTCACGGATTCAAACCGTAATCGTTCCATATCATCACGGCCCTATCCGAACCTCCCAAACCTCGCATTTTCCATCGCCAAACCAGTCCACAACTACCAAATACTCAGCCCTCATCACAGTCCCAAAACAGCCATTAAATTCACCTAAATCGAGTCCTAAACGTGTCTAACAATACCCGAGGTCCTAGGTAACGTTTGGGAAAGTCACTTACTTTGAAAAGGCGGACAAACGGGCTGGACAAGGGGCTGGAACAGTCGGCCCAGCAGCAGCAGCAGCGTCGCCGGCAGCCAGGCAGCGAACGGCGGCGCGGCGGCGACGTGCTTGGCGATCGACGATCACGCCCGGACGGAGGAGGGGATGACCGGCGGGAAATGGAGAGGAAAATGAGAGAGAGAGGGACTTGCTTCGTGAGAAAGAAAAATGTGAAGAGAGAGAGAGAGAGGTCAAAGGGGTCAAATACTAGTGAGTGGATTCCATGTGTCACCATCTCCATTGCTTTGACCAAAATGCCCTTGATCCAAAGGCTTGGATTTAATCTTATCTAATAATTGAGGGGTATTATGGTCATTAGCCCCAATAATTGAGCTGAAAACATATCTTAATTAATTCCAAATTTCCAGTCCAAAATTCAGAATACCTAGCACAGGGTCCAAGGGCAAAATGGTCATTTTTCCGGTCCCAAACCGAAATCCATTTTTTTTGCAGAAATGGGTGGCCCCAAGGTTGGCCAAGCCAAAAACGCCATCGGCCGCTCAAAATTGTCACTTTCAAAATTCTCGAGTCCCGGACCCGAATTCCAAGAAATGACTAGAATCGAACAATCGCAACTTAAGTTTATCTTTTGCTAACGGGTGGCTCATTGGGATTCCGCACTCTCGATCCATGACCGACACTAAGTCAAATCACGTTTAAGTTTGCTCGAACCAAGGTGACCTCGATTGTCATATAATTGTGAGGGTCTGTCGAGAGTTCCCTTCGGACACGATCAATTAAATAGATCAGTCTCTGTTGGCCCAAAACATTCCCTCGACAATCCTTATGGTCGAAGGTTGAACCAAGGTCGAGTTCTTTGGTCGTGCGAACTCAATCCCGTAATAGCCTTACCCCTAAGGTTAGCATCCCGAAAATACACGTTTCTTGGTGAGATCTCACTAGAAGTGCGTTGGCCAAATATTCATTTCATAAATCTCGGGAAAAGGATCGAAAATTCAGAATGTTACATTGTGAGCAACAACAAACTCTGTTTTGCTTCTGCAGAGAGCTTTTCTGTAAATGTAGTTATTACTTGGGTGGTTCTGTGAAGAAAAGTGACAATATATGTTGGGGATTCACTTCTTAACGTATGCACACGAGGTGGCTTCTTCTATGGACCAAAAGTGAGGTTTTGACCAGCTTGTCAATGCTGCGAGGAAAAAGCTTGTCCTCCTGGTCGAGAAACCTATTGGTCATTACCTGAAAGATCGTATGCTACCTATATAAATGGCATGGTTAGAGAAAATGAAAGGAACAAGCAAATGGCTCAAATTGCAGAAAATCATTTACGGTTCACATGCTCATCAAATTTTGAAATTCTCACAGCATAGACCGAGAAATGGCACAAAATTTGCAAAGAAGATTGGCCACAGAATGGGTAACTAAGATCTCATATCAATATCGAAAATAAGTAACCAAAAGAATCAAATCCCCGAAATCACCCATAAATCTTGAAATGTAGGAAGTATTCACGCAATTGTATCAAGATTATACACCAATTAGATTCTAAACCTATATGCATCTGCCCTAATACCACATGTAAGAAATTCAACGATCTAAAACTTGTATATAGCACTTAGAGTACCTAACCTTAAAACACATACCTAATTTAGCCACTCATCATCTTTGAACCTATTAATACGAATAAAGCCATACAATTCAAGGACTGTCTTCCTCTCCTTCTCCTCCTCTAGAAGGTAGCTAATGGATAAACCATAAGCATATGAAATTAGGAGGGGAAAGGAGACCATAGTCTATGTATGTAGCATATTCTAATCGGCTCATCTATCACAGGTCAATGTTAAAATATCGACCTAGACAGACTGGTGGATCACATTATTACCGTAACCGAGATGTGCTAAACCCGATAATGTAATCACAACTGTATTTGGGCGATATAGCATTCTCATATATTTTATAAACTCATAACAACCTATTTTTCCCTAACTAAAATACTATACAATTAACACTAGCCCCCATTTTTTACAAATTTCTAACAGATTGCGGTCCAAAATTACCATCTTCATGTTCATTTTAGAATGGGGGTCTTTCAAGCAAATGTTTTGGCACTTTCTAATGTTTTACTAGATTTGGTTCTAATATAATCATTACTAGCATAAAAGAAAACTCAATTTTCGACACTTTATTATTGGAAGAAAAGAGGTCACTCGTTCATGATTGAACACTAATGAAAGCACACCTAGGGAAGAAGCGATCACCAATTCCCTCTTGACCGACCAAAACACTGATCAAATCACTGAGATTTTCTTACAATAATATGCTAGACAAAGTCAACAATGTTCATCACACTACTCTACAATATTATAAATTCAAGTACTTAGATCATAATTGGTATAACCACGAAGCTTAAATCCAGTCAATGCAATTTTTTTTCCCAAAACTCCATTCAAATCACATGTAAATCATTTACCTCTTTTATCATTATTAGGGATAGCACATGATATAGTCCAGAACTAGGAAGCTCAGACACATCAATAGCATGCCTGCAATTACCTCAAAGTCTGAAAAACTCAAAAAATCAAGCTAGATTACAGAATATGTGTGATGACAAAAAACTTAGCATCAGAAAAATGATGCCTACACAAGGTTATGCCGCAAATTATCTTAAACATATGACAAACAAGTTTAAGCATGAAATGGACTTTGATCACAGCTGCAACCATTGGTAAAACACATGAGCATCCGAGCAAAAACTGATCTGCACATGCACTATGCTTCCTTTCTTGAGTCCCTTGATGAAATTCTGCGAATTGGGAAAGCAGTAAACGGCACATGCATTGTCAATCAGAGTGCATTGAATCATTTGAAGACACTTTATGGAATGCTAGATGCTTAACTATATCCTTGACCATATATTAGAATGCTAATCATTGTAAATAACTTTTGAGAGTCTTTGGCCGATGGGGCAATATTAGTCTATTTCCTTTATTATTTCATGTATGGTGGCAATAAGGGTGATATTGTAATTTTGACTTCTTTGCTTTATTATAATAGATAGCATGGGGTCACATTGACCTAAGCCAAGCATTCAGTTAAGTTTTTTTTTTCTCTGAACATGGTATCAGAGCCGGGGCTAACTGAAACCCTAACCCCAGTGTCTTCTCCGCACAACCTTTCTTTTCTCTCTCTCTCTCCTCTCGCCTTCACCCTCCACCTATCAACTTAAGCTTTTGGGTTGGATCAACTTGCTGATGTCACCATGCAGACCACTTGTTATATGCACGAGTAACTGATGATCATTCAATATGCAGCAGAGGTGCATCATAATACTATACATGGTGTACATGACAACCATAAAAGGAAGGATTCAATTGTTCAAAGGTCTTACCTAGTTGTGCAAAGGTATGAGAGGATTCAACAGGAAGAATCAATGCATGCAGATTGAATAAGCAGCCTGATGATTAACCCATGGCATGTGAGGCTTTGGAGCTGAACATCAAACAGAAGCGTTCGGCATATCTATAAAATACTTAAACAAATCATAAATTCTCAATGTCATTAACGGCAAATGAATGAAAAAGGAGGGGAACAAAGGCAAAGAGAAATGACATTCATGTCACATGTTTCTACAAAACAGAGAAGAAACATGAAACCAAATTGATTTTATCACTGCGAAGACAAATTATTCCAAGGCCATTTTTTCTGTAGGTAATTTGTTTCCGAAGTGTACTAATTATTTTAGAGGCATGAAAAGGTTATGGTCTGTCAGTCCCTTCAAATATTTGCAACTAAAGAGCTCAAATTGGAGAATTGCTGGACTAAGAACCGTATATGTTTAGTAATTCAATATAGGGATCAAGTAAGAAGATATTTCTGTCAAACAAGTCTAAACCAATGGATTCTCAACTATTAAGATACTGCACTTCGTCTTTTTTCTTAACCAAGGACATGACGTTTTATTTCTCAAATGGCAATCTGGTTAAAAATACCCAGTCTAGAGGAAACCTACATAGGATTAGCCGGGCATCTGAAATTTGGTCAAAAAAGAAGACTGGTCATCTGAAACTCTACCTTTTGTTTCCTGGGCAAATTCTCCACCTATTTATAGCAACCATTATATGGCTAAACACCATTCCACTCAAGCAACTATACTTAGTGTCAGTCTGGATAAGTGTACCCACCATCTCAAGATAAGCACCTTATCCTTGATGGAGAAAACTTCTGAATGGGTTCTAATCCAACCAATGGCCCGCTAGTTCTATGCTTGCGATTTCATTAACCCTTTGTCATTACAAAACATTCCACCGGGCCAGCTTTATTTACCTGGGATGTGCAAGTAATTTTCCAGAACAAGGATACAACAACATATCTTTACTGCAGTAAAGGATTTACATTTGGACGAGAGAGAGAGAGAGAGAGAGAGAGAGAGAGAGAGTTGCTCAGCAAGATCTGAAATCACCGAAAGCTGCAGCTACAATTCTTTCTCTAGCTGGTTGGAAGAATTGATTGAAAGGTAGATATAGAAAGAGGCCTCCTGAATTCTTCTTAAACAATATGGAAATGTGAGTGCTAGGAAAACCATTGTATTAGATTTTAGAAGAGAACTTTCTTCCGGAACGGTCTTTCAGGGAGGTGTAGCTAGCAAGCACAATGCTCTACTTCATCAATTGATAAAGTAAACTTTGGTTCAAAACGTAGAATTGCTCTATTACACTAGTTAAAGCTTTTAAAAATGTGTAGTTAACTATGGCTTCATTAAAATAGAAATATCATTTTCCTTAGGTATCTAAAATAAATAGGTGCTGACGACAGTATTATAAAATTCTGTCGAACAGATGGTTCAATTGGTGGTTAATTGCTGTTCATACCATTAGGGTTTCCTCGTTCATAAAAATCTTGCAAAAGAGATATTTCTTCTGACGCCATTATACTTCCAACAATTGAAACCCTTTGATCCAGAATTCCCATTACGGCAAGAGTAACAAGAAAAAAAGTTGGAAACATTCATAAATCGGGGCAGACACTCGAAAGGGGAAACATAGATGAAATTTCAGTGGAAACCAGTCAATATTTCCGATGATTCTGCATTTTTACCTAGCTCGTCAGCTTGAAACCCGAGACAGATTCCATTTGCAAGACATGTCCAAATATCATGGTAGAAATAATTTAGCACACTAATTGACAAAGCAATTTGCAAAAGAAGGTAGCATTTAAGCAAAAACAAGTTCGCCAATGGGAGAATATGTATAGTTTAGGAAGTTTATATCTTGTTCTTATGAATATCAATTCTAAGAAATGTTTATACTCCAGGAAGATCATGCAAGCAAATTATCTGTGAACTGTACCATTTGATTCAATTGACAGTAACTAGGCATTGACTGTAGCAAAATTCTTGCATCAAATATAAAAGAGTGTGTTTGGGCTAACTACGGCTTAAATTTTTTTCTTCCACGATGCCTTTGGGTCGTTCTATATTTTCTCTTCGACATGGAACCTAATGTCCTTGGAGGACAAACAATATGCTGTAAGTAGGGTGATACTTAGAGGCTTTTAATTTGGATGGGCAACTTCTCTTCAGAAGGATCTTGCAACAGTGATCTGATTGAGAGAAGATTCGTGGATGACTTGTGTACTAGTACCAGCTAGGATGGGTTTCCATCAGCTACATCTTCCAAACATCGAATGAGAACTGTACTCACTGTTATAACAGTCTCATTCTCTCTATCATGAAACTATGCAATAATGGGCTAGTTTTTAGCTCCAGAGAGAGGAAATTGAGCAAGGTGGTCCTTTATCAGCGAGATGAGTCTCCTTGCTTTATGTTGTATTCAGGAAGGTAATGAGCTAGGTCATACTTCCCACAATACTTTTGACTCATAATCAGATTATTAAGAGCAGCAAAACTATGTATTTCAAGCTCTTAAAGTCACAGTTTTCATGGTTTATTTTTTTCCCACTAAACTTTATATTTAGATGCATCCTTAGTACATCTCATGCTTCTCACCCCCGTACTTGAGCTTTTTCTTTCAAAACTACTACTTCAACAGAAAGACAATGTCACAATCTAGATTAGCTACTTCATGTACTGTTCAAATCACATTGAAACAGATCCTATTTCACTACGTTTTAAGTTTTAAGTCAATAAAGTCCTAATAAAAAATTGATGAGTTCTGAACAAGCTTAGCAAACATGAAATGTTAAATCATGCCAGTGTCAGACAGATGAAAAATCATACTGGAAACACAAGCCATCCACCACAATTTAGCAAGCACTTGCCCTCATGTATGCAGGAAGTTCAATTACATTGCCCACGGCATATCAGAAAGCATAATTTGCTCATAGTTAAAAAATCATATTTCTCTGAAGATACTATATTTCCTGATTTAAACTTAATAACATTAAGACATCAAAGAATCTTATTGCAGTGGAAACAAGTGAGGAAGAAGAGATAAAGAAAAAAAGGGCAAAGGGAAAAGGAAAGAACAAACTTATGTTAGCTTAACTTGTAACACTTCCCAGAACTGTAAATTTTTTAGGGGAATTAAAAAAAGAAGACTGTTTAACCAGTCACAAAGAATTTAAGAAAAAGGAAATAAAGCGAGGATAGAAAGAATTAATATAAACTCGACTTCTTGACGCTTGGGGAAACTACACTTTCCTCCATTTAGACTAGGAAGGGGACAGAAAAGATGGATAATTAGTTCCACACACCTTTTCTTTTTTCATGATTATATGTTGCAATATTCAAGGTGCGACAGCAAACAGAATCACTATGAAACTGCATCGATCAATAATCAACATAAGGAATCATAAACCTCCAGTAAGCTTGAGTTGTCAATTGTCATAGGTCACAATTTCAAAGTGGAGTTAAGTAGATACAAAATCAGCAACAAAAGCAAGTTCAGAAACTGACCTAATGCATGCCTCGTAGGTACTTGAATGCAACGACAGTATCAAGCCACAGCCTCCAAATTTATCATTTGCATGGCCACAATATACTTCCTTCATACCTAAAACTGGCTAAGAGTCATCTAATCATTTATGAACAAATAAATTTAGGAAAGTTTAGTTTTATTTCAGTATGATCAACAGATGTACCAGTGATCGATAATGCTGCTGCATACATTATGCATGGCTCACATGTCACATAAAGGGAGCATGCTGAAAACTTTTCTGCAACTTCTGCAGCTGAAAATCCTGTCCTCTGCCACTATTCAAGAAGAACATCAAGAACGTCCATCTCTGCATGTCTTGTTGCCTATGAAAGCGCAAGAAGAAAAATAAAGAAAGCATATTAAACTTAGGAGCTTTTCCAGAGAGAAAGTTGCTCTTAGTGTAGTTTCATAAAAAATTTACGAAATGCATTTCTTGAGAAATGTTTTCTCCAACAAGTTATCTGATTGAGTATATAAAAGATTGATCAAGGCACGTACTACATGATATCAACAAGTTTTGCTCGCTTGAAGTTGCTGATAATCTCACATGAAAAAGAGGCTTCTTATTGGATTGGCCACCTCCACCTTTTCTAACATTATTTTTTATATACCCCTATAGCAAGGTGCCTTTGTTTTTTCATTATGCTCCACAAGATACTAAAAGGGCCAAATATTTTTCTCATCAACTATTTATTACTGTCCGCAAAGTCATTTATAGTAGTGTCTTGTCACCACATAACTATAAATGATTACAGGAATAGACTATTAGATAAGAGATTATCTCTACCAGAAACTAGGCTTAAATTATTTGTGTAGATGTGGCCATTGTGTGAAAAAAAAAAATGTGCCCAAGAAGCAGGTTCTTACATCTTAAAGGCAATACAATGTTCACAATTCATTTTTATACCAAATGAGTATACCAAAGTTTAGCTAACATATGGCCTAAGGAAACAATGTTAGGAACTTCACAGAAGCTAGACCATAATATGGTTCCAGACAGAGCACAATGGTAAATGAAATACGTAAAACATTGTGCACAATAAAGCCAGATTATTGCTAGTGTTAGCCGTATTCATATTTTATGAAAGAATAATGGAAACAAAAACATTTACAGCCTAATAATGCATGGACTATTCCACTTATTAACAGATTTGTTCTGATAATTCTTTTATTATCTATTAAAGAAATAATCATGGGAGAAACATAGAATGATCAACAATAACTACGAGAGGATAATTCGAGGGTATCAATTCAGAACAATAACAAAGTGCTGTTGGCTGAATTTATACAAGGGGGTGGAGAAGCAATGATAAATCATACATTTCGTGTCTCATTAGTCCGGTTTCTTCCTGCCGCAATAACGTGCCCATCCTCAACAATCACACAGTTATTCAATCAAAGAGTACAATCTGAAATCATTCACTAATTAAGACTGAAATACTAATCATCTCAATTAGAAATTAAAGTAATATATCTGAAATGCACATGGTTACTGAAAATTAGTTTTCTACCCAACTGGAACTTTTAAGGCTATCCAAAGCAAGCTTTGCCTTATATAAGAATAGCAAATAGGTTTTGTTACTCGTTAGAAGAAAAAATATGAGTATAAGAGTCAGAAATTCTCAAGCATGCATGCATGCATATAAGTAATTCAAGAGGAAATCAGCATCAAGTGTCCAGCAGTAGAAATATTCAGTGTTAATATGCAGCTACTAATGGAATGAATGCATGTCTCACAGCTATATAATCAGGATCCTGCAGGTCCTGTATAATATACTGGTCACAAACTTCTAAACAATGATTATTACAACATATTCGTCCTGTATTTCAGACGCAAATCCCACCTAACTATTAAACTGATATGGCTCTAACCACACTAAAGCAGAATCAGCAACTAATTTGAGAAAATGCATGTTGCTCATTCCAGTGTGTCCTATCTTTGGTACCTCAAAAGCTTATCTTTCATTAAATAGGTTTCACTCAAACATTCAAGAAACTTCCACGAGTTTTAGCTTCTTGGTCATTTTCCTTCATAAAAGCTATGGCACATATGGACAAAAACAGAATCCTAAACTGTTGCGAAGGCCTCAGAATTCAGAATTGACAATCAGCGTCCTGTGCCTTTTTTTTTTTGGGTAAGGTAGCATCCTGTGCTTTTGTCTCTTCTCTACTGAATAACTTATGTAAACTCCGTGTTTGTCATGATTATTTCTTTTTCATATGCACAGTCCACAGGGCAAAAAGAAAATAACCACCTAACCAGTTATCCATGGGCACAACCGATGTTCATATTATGCTCACACTCCAAGTAAATTTGGTTTTCAATTCTCCCTAGTTGCCAAAGTCAAGAATTGGTTAAAGGACTCGACTGTCAAGCAACCTTTCCTGGTGGCTTGCCATCTCATTGCATCTTCTTCATTCCTCTATGGTTTTGCCTCTTGGAGCCCCTCATAAAACATAGAGACAGAGCCCTATCCCAGTGATCAAAGTTTCTCAGAATTCAATTCTCCTAGCAAACCTATCACCCGCTGCATATCTGCATGATAAGTGCATACTACACATCCACATTTCCTAGACACCTCAAAAGCAACTAAATCCCTCCCTCCCTCCCAACCTGCAGCACCCGGGTTGGCTCAGTTTTTTGCCTGAAAAGGGGACTGAGCCAACCCATGTACACCCTACTTCCCACTATTTCACTCTCCCTTGCTTGTTTTTCCTTTGAACCTAGACTTCACCTGCTTCTTTCAATGAATCGCCACCTATGAAAACAAAGAAAGAAAAGCTATACCTTCCAGAGATTGTCGCTAATTTTGCAGCGCGTAACGTCGATAACCTATGAATTCACTACCAAGCATCCACAGACTGAACTTACGAAAGAACACTCATTCAACGTCTCTCGAACAGATTCAACTACACATTCTTCATGTTCCCGCGCAATTGTAGCACCCAACGAATCCAATTCAAAATCCAGCTCAAGTATTACATCAACCTAAATAAAATTCGGATGTGCCAAGCATTACCTGATCTATAGCAAGCCGCATGAAGCCCAGAACGAACCTCAGGGAGAGAATCGTTCACCCGAAGCCACGTCACCAGTTTCCATGGCTTCGTTCGGCGGTGGTAGCCCGTCGCCTCCGCTGGCCGGTCTCCGCCGCCGTCGGTTCGCCGGGGACTCTGTTTCCGGAAGACGAACTTCTTCTTCTTCTTCTTCTGCTCGTCGCCTTCGTCGGCAGGTGGCGGCGATCTTCCATGTCGTCAGAGCTCGGCAGTGTGGGATGGAAAGATGAGGGAGGAGTCGTGACGTCGAAAGCGGTGTTCGGTGGAGTTTGAAAAGCTCCTTCCTTTTTCTGATTAGACGGTTTGTTTATGTATAAGATGGAAAGTGGGTAATTTTATTTATTTAAGCAAGCGAATCATCAAAAGAGATGTCATATTTCCTATTATGATGGAAGGTTAATTGTTGAGAAAGCCGAAAATTAGTTTTTTTTTATATATATATTTTCATTTTGTCTCAAGGAAAATTTGACATTTATAATTTTTTAAAAAAAGTCTGTTTTTTTTCGAAAAAATGACATAACGGGGCACTATGCAACTGAGGTTGCCCATAATTTGCTAACAATCGTGTATTCGAATCTATTTACAGTAATAGTAAAGCAAAAGGAGAGCGATTGGGATCGCTCCATGGTTCCATACTTGAGTGTGAAAATGGCAAATGGGACTTGGATTGAGTGATGAATCTATGCGTTAACTAAGTGCGAAGAAAAGCAGATGCATCGGAAATCGAAGTTAACATGGAAAGGAAATGAATTGAAACGAAAAATACGCACATGGAAATGAAAGCGCAAGGAAGGAGAAAGAAAAAATGAGAACAAAAGGTTAGATAAACAACTTACGGAGAGCGTTCTATCTTCTCAGATGCCTTCGTCCTCTGTACTCCATGGAAGTTGTATTCAATGCACATCCCAAGCCCCCCTCATCCGACTCTCCAGCCACAACCTTCGAACTCATTTTCTCGACATGAAGTCGAGAAGCAGGTCGAGCTCCTCTCTCCTTATCGAGCTCTCTCTACAAAGGCTGGTCATTTCTTTTATTGTTGCTGGCAAAGTCAGCACCAGTTGAAGTGGACACATAAAATACCTCCATGGAAATATATGGGCAACTAACAGCGTGTTATTGAGAAAAGAAGACGAGAAGAACCGGGAAAAGAGAAAAGGCATTGTAATGAAGATCAGCTGAGTTTGCTTACCTACGAATTGCTTCCTTAGCAAGTTTCTCGATCATTCTAACAACAAAAGCAGCGAGCAAACACTGCCATACTCATCTCTGCCAATCGAATTAGAAGTCCACAAGGTCTTGGTTCACATGCCTCATGGGAGAAGAGCTCATGATTTCTCTCTGATATTGCTTGACTATGTTCCTCAGTACTCATTTGACAATCTTGCAAGTCTTTCTGTAGATCTATTTCGTCTTTCTGTAGATCTATTTCGATCGGATTGACTTTGTGCATATGTGAACTCTCGGCTGCTGAATTTGTTGAGTCGTGACCAACCTCGTAGAGTAATGCTGGATCTATAAGCTGATTATCTTGAATCCCAACCTTTAAGTCATCCTCTAGTTGCTTACATATTATTCGGAATCCCCATTTTTTCACGATTGTACCCGATATTGTAAGCCTAAATTGTACAAAACTCCCATCAATTTGACTAAAATCAACTTCTCCAAATGTTGCAGATGGTGGATGTAACAAAAGCACGATATGATCCATATCCAGCGAATTGGTTGCCCAACCATGATAGCCATTGCGCCGCAATTGGCCATTAACATATTGTTCTATTCTTATTTGTCCTCCCTCTTTTGTTTTACTAACAACAAAACAGATAGCCAATGCTAGAAACTTGTTATATAAGTCCTCTGAAGCCATGAAAGATATGAATTCCTCTTCAACAGGTTGGAGCCACTCTGGCATCTCTCCTCCAGGGATATGAAAAGAGCGTAACCACGTTGACATCCCTTCTCTAAGGAGATAAATAGAGGGTTTACAATTATTCTGTTATAAGATAAACCGTTAGAAAGTATCCCAAATAGAAGAGTTCAATTTGAGTTTAGTAAGTAATCCTAGCGAATTCCAATTTTAACTGGAGCTCTATAAATGAGTAGAGATCATTGATCCTTGCTTCGATTAATATACAAGTCTCATGTGATAGAAATCATTTCTATAAAAGAGCGGAAGCCAACTCCATTACATGCCTCCACATGTAGAACAACTTCATATTTGTGAGATAAGTATAGTGTAAGTGCCATAACTTTTGTACGGAGGACACTTAAATGCCATAACTTTTTTTTGGCTCACTTGAGTGCCATAACTTTTAAAAAAAGATTACTTGAGTGCCACTGACGAGCTGGTCGTGAGGGCTCGAAACTGTGGCTTTTCGGCCGAACGGTGACCTTCCCAGCGACGCAAACACCACTAGCTTGAAGAGAGGGTGTCGGTGAATCATTCTATTACCTCCGTTCGTCTCGAAATTGCCGTTTTAGCCTCCGTTGACGAAGGTAAAAATGCTTCGTAGTCACACAATTCAAGCATTTTATCGAACCAATTTGTGTGACTATGAAGCATTTTTACTTTCGTCAACGGAGACTAAAACGGAAATTTTGAGATGAACGGAGGCCATGGAATGATTCACCAACACTCCATCTTCAAGCTGGTAGTACTCGTCTTACCGGGAAGGTCACCATTTAGCCGAAAAAGCTACGGTTTCGGGCCCTCACGACCAGCTTGTCGGAGGGGTTGGTCGTGAGGGCCCCAAACCACGACCTTTCGGGCCGAACGGTGACCTTCCCAGCGAGGCAAGCACCACCAGCTTGAAGAGGGAGTGTCGGTAAATCATTCAATGGCCTCCGTTCGTCTCAAAATTTCCGTTTTAGTCTCTGTTGACGAAGGTAAAAATGCTTCGTAGTCACACAAATCGGTTCGATAAAATGCTTGAATTGTGTGACTACGAAGCATTTTTATTTCGTCAACGGAGGCTAAAACGGAAATTTTGAGACAAACGGAGGCCATGAAATGATTCACTAACATCTTCTCTTCAAGCCGGTGGTGCTCGTCTTGCCGGGAAGGTCACCGTTCAACCGGAAAAGCCGCGGTTTCAAGCCCTCACGACCAACTCGTCAGTGGCACTCAAGTGATCTTTTTTAAAAGTTATGGCACTCAAGTGAGCCAAAAAAAAAGTTATGGCACTTGCACTGTACTTACCCCCGTATTTGTTTGCTTTACTTAAAGCCTCCAATCTTTCGTTTTCTGTTATTGTAATATACAACCACTTCATATTTGTGTGTGTGTGTGTGTGTGTGTGTGTGTGTGAGAGAGAGAGAGAGAGAGAGAGAGAGAGAGAGAGAGAGAGTGTCTAACCTCGCCAGGTGTGAAATTGGAAACCATGGTCAACCGTCTTCGAACAAAATCGTGAGATGAAATTAAATTTCCAGTTTTTTGCAGAGATTCACAATTAGGCGCCCAAAGTGCGTCCAAAAATGGTGGAAGCTGGGGAATCTCTTGTAACTGATAGCAATCTTTAACTCCCAAATCGAACAAATGATTGCGCTTACCGAAGGATGTTGGAAGGCTAGTAATATTGTTCCTCGACAGAATTAAACGTCTCAAGATGGGAAAGCAGGAAAGATTCTCAAGAAACTCCACCTCAGACAGATTACATCCCTCAAGGTCTAAATCTTTTAAACTCGGAAGTCCCATCTTCATTGACGCATCAGCAGAATCCTCGTACTTTGGAAACCCAATTAAGGTTGTGCAATCGTTAAGGACCAATCTTTCCATATTTTGTAACTTGTATATGCTAGACGGAAGACTTACCAGGTTCTTGCAATTATGTAACATCATTCTCTCTAAAGAAACAAGATTTTCTATTGATGCAGGAAGTTCTTTAATAGCAGTCCCTTGTAAACAAAGCGATTTCAAGCTTTCGAGTTTATGTGGAATATCAGGGAACCTTTCAAAATTTCCGCAATCTTTAAGATCAAGACGTTGGAGATTTTTTGACTTGAGCACATTTGGAAAAACACTAAGTTTAGAGCACCCCTCTAATGTCAACACTCGTAACTTCTCATGATGTGCAATCGATTGGTGGACTTCTACCAAGTTTTTGCAATATTGGAGAGCCAATTCCTCAAGATTTGGAGTACATAAGAGGTCGGGCATACTAACCAACGAATCGCAAAAACTGAGATTAATGTACTTCAAATTTTGTAATTCCTGCGAAAACAGCGAAACCAACTTTAATAAATATTCTGAAAGGGATTTCAATCTTTTTTTTTTATTCCTTCCATCAATTATCCTCAACAACTTATTTTACAGATATTATACCAGTGGACAATTACGTGACATTAGTTATTCTATTTTATCTCTAAAAGATTAATATTAAAATTTGAATTTTCATATGATGGAATGACCTTCATAAAGAAATTTCAAACCTTGAAATATCTTTCTCTTTCCACATCTATGTACAAAATTCCTTTGTATTGTCTATTTTTACAGCAAAATGTTTCCATTAAATATTTCTACTAAAGGTGTTCCACTTAATTTTTTAAATGCTAATTTTGCTGCACGTAAAAATATCTCTAACCAAGTAATTAGGGTCATTTTGAAAGAAAATAGCGAAGGGATGCCTGAAACAGAGGAACACCACTTCCTTTTGTGTACTAGTACATATAATACGCATATAAATATTCAAATGAAGTAGATAATAAAAAGGTCTATGTCGGTAAATGCTCACCTTAAATTGTTTTATGATTCTTGTGATATTGCCTTCACTCATATCAAGTCCCACTAATTTCTTTGGCCCAGAGGAAAATTCTGGAATCCGGCCAGCACATCCAGGCCATTCAAACCATCTTAACTCATTAGGAAGACATATAGGACCTTGGAAAGAATCATGCACGTTGCGCAAGATGAGCAATCTCAGCCTTCTCATTTTTGTAAAAGCATCAGGACCGATACACATCTCCGTCTGCTCAGGTAGTGCCAACACTATGGCTTTTATGGCACAATCTCCCTGTATAAACAAGATTAAATTAGATTATGCACTTTCACTAATTAGAGTAAAAAATTAGTAGCAAAATTTTGATCTTATTCACAATTCTAACCATGTCACGTGACAGAACATCAACAACATCATCATACAACCATAGTCTGCTGCGTCTTCCGGGATCATCTCGACATTCTTGGTTCACGATATCTATACCCATCGCTTGAATCAAGTCATGCATGTTAAGGATTTCGCACTCAATGCTTATCAAGGACCTCTTCATGAGAATATCAAATCCTGCAACTGTCTGAAGATCACAAGCGTCGAGAACTTTCTTTGTATACTCTCTTGCCCACCCATTAAAGAAGCAGGCAATGTGGAGAAAGATATCTTTCTCATTTTCATGGAGTCCATCATAACTCACTTTGAGCACATTATTAATGGTTCTATCCGGAATCCTAGAAAGTTTCGTTAGTGTACTTTCCCATACATCTTCTTTTGTACCACACAATAAGGAACCCAGCACCTCAAGTGCTAAAGGAAGGCCTTTAGCATAATCCAGAGCTCTATCCACTAGATCTGCTCTGATTTGGTGCATCTGAAATGCATGCTTGCTAAGCAGCTCATGAGCTTGATTGTCATCTAGTGCTTTAACTTCATACACGTGATCTTGATCTATCTGGTGACAAGTTAGCAAATGTTTGTCTCTTGTGGTAATGATGATCCTACTTCCATTACCAAACCACTTTTCTCCTGCTAATGTATTCAGCTGGCACCGGTCATCCACATCATCAAGGATGAGGAAAACTTTTTTGCGACCAAGTCTGCGTTTTATTAGGTGAATACCTCCATCGACATTGGACACTACTAATCTTTGTTGCGGTGATAGTATATCATTTAGTAATATTTCTTGCAAAGTAACTAAACCCCTGCTACCTTTTGAAGTTTCTCGAACATTTGCCAGAAAACATGAACCCTCAAATTGTCTGAACACAGCATTGTAAAGAGCTTTTGCTAAACTTGTCTTCCCTATACCTCCCTGTCCCCATGATCCCACCATGAGAACACCATCATCAGACTCGAGATTTAGGCTGCGCATGACAACCATTCTGTGCCCGGGAACAGATTCTGATCAGAAATGATTCTTTTTGATTCTGTGCCCAAAATTGATTCTGAGCATTTTAAGGCGTTTGTTAACGGCCCAAAATTCCATCCCTGGAATAGAAAAAGAACAGAAATGCGTTTGGTAACGCCACAAAATTTCTTTTTATTAATAATATTTTTAAATATTTTAATATTTCTTTCTTTTTTTTCTTTTCTTTTTTTCTTTTCCTCCTTCTTGGCCATAGCATGCTCGCCGGCCATGACCGGAAAAATATTTTTTTATTAATAATATTTTTATTAAAAGTATTTTTTCTTTTTTTTGGCCATGGCCTGGTCGCCGACCATGACCGGTAAAATATTTTTTTATTAATAATATTTTTTTTAAAATATTTTTATTAAAAATATATATTTTTATTTTTTTTTGCCATGGCCTGGTTGCCGGCCATGGCCGGTAAAATATTTTTTTTATTAATAATATTTTTATTAAAAATATAAATTTTTTTTTGGCCATGGCCTGGTTGCCGGCCATGGCCGGTAAAATATTTTTTTTTATTAATAATATTTTTATTAAAATATTTTTATTAAAAATATACATTTTTATTTTTTTGGCCATGGCCTGGTCGCATGCCATGGCCGGTAAAATATTTTTTTTATTAATAATATTTTTATTTAAAAAATATATTTTTATTTTTTTTGGCCATGGCCTGGTCACCGGCCATGGCTGGTAAAATATTTTTTTATTAAAATATTTTTATTAAAAATATATTTTTTTCTTTTTTTTGGCCATGGCCTGATCGCTGGCCATGGCCTGTAAAATATTTTTTTTATTAATAATTTTTTTATTAAAAATATACATTTTTATTTTTTTTAGCTATGGCCTGGTCGCTGGCCATGGCCGGTAAAATATTTTTTTTATTAAAATATTTGTATTAAAAATATATTTTTTTTCTTTTTTTGCCATGGCCTGGTCACCGGCCATGACAGGTAAAATATTTTTTTTATTAATAATTTTTTTATTTAAATATTTTTATTAAAAATATATATTTTTCTTTTTTATGGCCATGGCCTGGTCGCCTGCCATGGCCGGTAAAACATTTTTTATTAATAATATTTTTTATTAAAATATTTTATTCTCGTCAGATCCGGCGAGGGCGGTCCTCGGGCCGGACATTAGAAGCTAAATTAAAAACCAAGAAAAGGAAGAAGAAAAAAAATTGATTCTCAAAATTGTTCCTTAATCAAGAAGCTACTTTTTTTATTCTTGATTCTCGCTTCAAAATCGATTCTCGGGAACAATTTTTGACAAAATTGTGCCCAGAATCAAAAAATTAAACAAACGCATTTCTGTTCCCAAACTGATTCTGGGAACAAAAGAACAGAATCAAACACTGTTTGGCAAGTTGTCATGCGCAGCCTTAACATCGATTTCAACTTAACAACTCGAGAATCTATCCCAACCGGATGCTTAGCTACATGCAAAGGTGTTCGGGCTAGGTAAGTGGAGATCTTCTCCACAATTTCTTGTATAAGCTCTGACTCATCTCTGACAAAAACGGAAAAGGAAGTTGTGGCATCATTTTAGGGATTTGAATAAGCAAATAGTGAGCAATCACTAACTACTAATGACAGGGCAATGTTTGACCAAAAAAAAAAAATGACAGCGGTGCATCATATTTTCAGATTATCAAAGCTCCACACGAATCAAAATGTGTTCAAGGTTTTAACTTTGATTTATCCAAGTAATTCATGTTCTTTTTTTATACATAATGATTTACTTATTTTTCTTTTTGACTGTTATATGTGATTTATTTATGCACTTAATCAAAAAGCGCTATTTAGGACTTTAAAACTGTGATTATGATTTTGATTTCCAAACTATTAAATACCCTGAAGCACGATGTGGTGTTGCCTTATTGGGCCAATAAACACTAATCTTCCTGAATCAAGCGTTGCAAACTTTTTTATTCCTTTCAAAGAAAAGAGGTAAGTGCAATAACACTACTTAACATTTTGTCCATTGGTGGTCGATCAAGATTTAATCTTTTATTCTGTTCAAATGAGTCAGTAAATTTTTCAACCGATCAAGTCCCAGTGTCAATTTTCTATTATTGGGAAAGCCACGTGTCTGTTCTACGGATAGGCATATGTGATTTTTCGAACTCAAAGTGCCACTTGTAACGAGTTTGGGACTTGGTTGACAAAAATAAAAAAATCTATAAGAACTCAATTTACCAAAATGAAACGTGAAGACCTCAATAGCCCACTGATAAAATGACTAGAACTTCTATTACACTTTGAAGAGGGCAACAAGGATCCAAAAGAAAGAGCTACAGATCTTACCCGAATGTAATAGGGCTTAGCAAGGGCAGAATTCTATAATTGGCAAGTGTCAAAAAACTGTCGGAAAAAAAAAAGATCGGCGATTTTTTCTTTTACATTACTTATTAGTAACTTACCAACAATTTTATGAAATCATCAACGACTTTTTATAAATTGCACTTTACCCATTTCGTACTAACTTACCAAATTTGATTTGCATAACTAATGGCCTCAAATTTACTACCTTTATTTGAAATTACTAAAAGAAATTTAAGTGATTTACCATCTTTGATAATATTAAATAATTACCTATTAGTTTTGAATCACCAACTCTTGCTTCAGCTACTTATCAATGTTTACTTGTTCTTTTAATTTGCCAACTTTTCTATTGGGTTAACAGCTCTCATTTGAGTTACTTACTAACTCATTTTTTATTTTGTCAACCTTAATTAGAGTGATTTACCAATTTTTCTTCGATTTAGTTACCAACTAGTTTTAAGTTAACAATTCTCGTTTGAGTTACTTGCCAATTTTATTTTTTAAATTATCAATTTTTCTCAATTTTTATTTATCTTTCTTAACTACACTTAGACTCACCAATTCTTTTATGAAATTGCTAACTTAAACTTAAGCAACTCAAGAATTTTTAGGAATCATAAGATGAAGCATGTATACATATACTTACAAGCATGTGTGCGTCCATTTATTTATTTATCTTTATTTTTAAAAAACAATATGTCTACTAGCTTGTAAAGATTACTTTTCTTACAGAAATTATAAACTCAGCTTCACTTACCCATCTTTCAAATGCCACCCGGACAAGCTACCGGCATCGGAAAGAGCTTTCTTCCATCTCTTCACTTTCTCCGAATCCTTCCCGAACTTGGACTCGTGCTTAGCCAGAGCTCTCCGATAACTCTTTCTGCCCCCTCTCACTTCTCTTGGGTCCACTTTATAAAACACTGGTAGAACGGTGACGTTCTTTTGCTCGTTGCACTCCATAATCTTGGACACCTCTTCTAAGCACCACGTTGAGGAAGCATAGTTCTCGGAGAAAACGATGATTGAGATGCATGATTCTTCGATGGCCTTCATAAGCGTAGGTGATATTTGGTCTCCCTTTTTCAATTCTTCGCTATCCCGGAAAGTGTATATTCCTATCAGGTGTAAAGCTTGGTAGAGATGGCCGACGAAGTTGTTACGCAGATCCGTGCCTTTGAAACTCAAGAAGACGTCATAAATTTTTTCGGATTTTGATGAAGCCGCCATTGGACGATGGAGTTTAACAATCAGCAATGACTATCCGCTGAAAATCTGAATCTGTGTTTTCAGGTAGTGCATTCGCCGCTTGATCTTCTTTGATCTATTCTTATACTAAAGGACAGATGCAAGACTTATTTTTGGGTAGGGTAAACAAAGAATAATGTTAGAACTTTGGAAAATGAAGGCCGCGTGCAACCGCGTGACACAAGCTTCTTTGTGGCCGACAAGAGTAGGGACTATAGATCACAAACCGACAAACAACTTTCGTGGTCTTCCTCGAAATTTCATCCCTGTCCTCCGAGAAGAACTACTCGAGATAAATAATTACACGCACAATCAAGTGTGGCCAAATCACAAGCCGATTCTCTGATGGACACAAGCCTCTTTGTGGCCGACAAAAGTGGTGGAGAAACAGCGTTCGGGGTGGTGGACTCTTGTGATCTGGTCATAGGCTCACTAATCAGAAAAACTTTTAATGGCTTCCTCGAAATGGAAATGGCATCCGTCTCTTTGTTGGAGGATTTGTCTTTCATATATTAAAATCTGCGAGGGATTTGCAGTCTTAAAAAAGGAAGCAGTATGTATTCCCATACTGCACATGATCAAGCAATCGAGTTGATGTTCAAGCCTTGTGAAAATTCAGGCTCCGTGCATACTAAATATATACGATATGGCATAAAATTTTGTATTGGTTTTAAAAAAAAAATTCATTAGAGTTATCTCTACATGTGGTGTTTAAATGGTTTACGTTTGCTTTATCACATAATTCAAATCATTTGGAGATTGAAATTCCAAATATGAAAAGTACTGTGGACTCATGTAGAAAATCGTAATATTAAATGGTTAATCATAGATAATGTCTTATGCTCAGTTATTGTGGATCAACACTGTTGACAGTATATAGTTTTTACTCCCATTTATATTTAAATTCTCCATTCTCAATCATAGAAATGTAATGGTTAAAAAGATAAATCAGACTTATATAAAAGTGACACGTATTGATACTTTATAAATGGATATGCTATTTTAATCAACTTATTAAATAAATGAGCCAACAGCAGCTCATCCATAATTGTTTGTTTTTTTGTTGAGAAAACGTTAAGATGCTTTCAAAGCATCGTGTCATCAACCACCAAATTAATTATTCAATATCAAGTGTTATAAATTTTGACTTTCCTCTAAAGCAAAATATTATGAACGAATAATTATGTGGTGGTCTGGGAACACCTAACCTTCTCTCTGTTGGCGCATGCTGCAATTGTTCTATTGCTTCAATATGGCTAAGGAGCTTGGTTGATTGTAATTTATAACCTCTCATCAATAGTGCCACTTGACTTATATTTTGGTGATATATGCCACTAACACAATGTGTTCTAGAGAAGTGGTTTTAGAACCGAAAGCTGGAGTCTACTATATTCAACAGTTCAAGTTCAATTTATCTTCTTTTCTCTTTTAGCACCGAAAGAAAAGAAAAGTGACGACTTTTGAGTCAAGCCCGTGAAATTTTTCCAAAGTGGGAGGAAAAAGTCTCCAGCTTTATAGTTAGACGAACCACCCTTCAAGATAGTCATGGAGGCCGCGGCGAGGGCGAGCCTCGCCATGGTCGGGCGAGGCCCGACCTCGCCGGATCCGGCGAGGTCGAGCCTCGCCCGACCAAGGCAAGGCTCGAGCCCTCGCCGGAGGCCGCGGCGAGGGCGAGCCTCGCCATGGTCGGGCGAGGCTCGCCAGATCCGGCGAGGTCGAGCCTCGCCCGACCAAGGCAAGGCTCGAGCCCTCGCCGGAGGCCGCGGCGAGGGCGAGCCTCGCCATGGTCGGGCGAGGCCCGACCTCGCCGGATCTGGCGAGGTCGAGCGTCGACCTCGCCAGATCCGGCGAGGTCGAGCCTCGCCCGACCAAGGCAAGGCTCGAGCCTCGCCCGACCAAGGCGAGGGCTCGAGCCTCGCTCGACCATGGCGAGGCTCGCCCTCGCCGCGGCCTCCGGCGAGGGCTCGAGCCTCGCCCGACCAAGGCGAGGCTCGCCGCGCGGCGAGGCCGCCGCTCGCGGTGGCCGGCGAGCTCGAGCTCGCCGGCCTCCGGCCTCGGCCGGTCGCCGGACCGGCTACCGGCCAGAGGAAGGAGGAAGACAACAAAAAAAAAAAAGTGGAAAAAAAAGGAAAAAAATAAAAATTCAAAAAAATATTTAAAAAATATTAAAGTTGTCCACGTCGGCGCCGGTGACCGGCCGCTGGCCGGCAGGCGTCCACGTAGGCAAATTCCGGTCTAAATTGGCCGGAAAGACTAAATTGGCACAAAAATAAAAGGTTTAGGACTGAATTGACACCAATTTAAAAGGTTTAGGACTTAATTGGCACCAAAAAAAGGTTTAGGACTAAATTGGCACCAATGCAAAAGGTTTAGGACTGAATTGGCACCAAAAAAAGGTTTAGGACTAAATTGGCACTAATGCAAAAGGTTTAGGACTTTTTTGGTACTTTTCCCTGCAATTGTGACAGCATCAATTACTAGTACGTTAGTTATTATGCATACGAACTGTCTTTTTTAGAATTCAATGAAAAATAATATCACTTGTCTAATCTCGATTCGCTAAATCTCCTCTGTTGAAAGGATGGACATCGCATAATGTGTACGACTCAATCATCCTTTGTAAACCGAATTTATTAAATGAATTTGTGAAATAAGGGGAATGATCATAATGTTGCAAGTGGATCAGATTTTTAGCCATGTTCCTAATCCCTCAATCGCAGTAGATGATATTGTGGCCTAAGAACGAGTTCTAATTCTCATGATCTATTTATAGGTGTAAGAGGAATTTGGTCAGCGAGTAGCACAAAAATTGAACTTAATCAATGGAAGATTATAAATTCTCATTATAAATTCTCAACCTCGAATTTCTTGTCGTCAAATTCAAGTCAAGTTTGAACGTTTCGAGTGTACTGTTGATCCTGCTACGCACCGAGCAAGGCTTTCTCCACCGTGAGACAAGGCATCTTCTTTTTCTCCTAGCACCAAAAGAAAAGAAGAGTAACAACTTTTAAGTCAAGCCTATGAAATTTTTCTAAAGCAGAGGGAGAAAGTTTTCGGCTTTACTAGTCAGAAGAACGACGCTTTGAGATAGTTATGAAGAAAGGTTTTATGCGAGAATACGTTTTTCTTTCCTAATTTGCCATAGGTGAATTGTCCAACATATCCCCATTCGAACGCAGAATAAAAATCTCAAGGCAAAAAGTAGCGGTCCCAATTCCTGAGGCAATTTTGAAGACGAGCAAAGCGGCAAATATAGAGCGGTTGTTTTAAGTTTAAGCAGGAGGCAGTGTCTCAACTCTGGATTTGTGGCAGATGCAACATAATTTATATGAGATGATTTAGAGAGTTTCCGATTTAGATCAATCAAACAGTTGACCCATCAATTGTGAGATCAGCGATCCCTCTTCTATTCGGGATAGTCATAAATCCACCATGGTAGCATTCGAGTCGGTATTCAGCCGGTCGAATGGAGATTTCTCCGAAATCTCGACCCCTCACATATTTTTTTAACTCTGTCATCCAACATGAAACGAAAGAGATGCGCGACTTTTCTTAGAACTCGGGAAAATGATGGCGCTCAAGGATGGTCCAGGACATCTAAAGTGTGTGAACACATGGACCAATTTTCACTTAAGACCGCATATCTGTGGCCGACAAGATTAGTGAGCAGTGTAGATCGGTACTGGTCCTCGTGGACTCGCTTATTGCAGGGACCGACAAACAACTTTAGGGTGGTGGATTCTCATGATCTAGGTCGTAGGCCCGCTGATAAAAACAACTTTGGTGGTCTTCCTCGAAATTTCATCCCCAACCTCTGATAAGTTGTTTTTTCCTTGCCATATAGTAATTTACCACATAACCACTCAAGAGATATACAAATTACACGCACAATCAAGTGTACCAGCAAAAAATAATTTTACATCTATTGATAATATAGAACTTTGGGAAAAATGGTGCTGAAGTCTGGACCGAGACGTGTAAAAGGTATGAACAAATGGACTTATTTTCACTCAAGACCGCATATCAGCTTCGAGGAAATGGCTTTGATCTGTTTAGTCTTCATTTTTCTTTCTGTAATTGAAGTATTTCATGTCATTAGGTTAGCTTTTGTCAAAGGCTCTAATAAATAAAATAAAAAAACTTTTCTGGCTTCCTTGAAAGGGCATTCCCAACCTCCAAGGTGTTGTTTTTTTTTCGCTAAATAAATAATTTTACACATGACAACTCAAAAGATATAAAATTATATGCACAACTAACTATATATAGGTCTAAGCCTATTTCAATTTTTCTATCCGCATAATTACTAGCAAACCCATGAAAAAAATCTGCAAGTCCTATGAACAAATAAAGTTTTGCCTTGACCTGGAATAGCAATTTTGATATAGTGTAATTTGTACCCAATAGCGCTTTTACGACAATATATCATTCAGAAAAACACGGTGCTTAAGTGTGGACCAAGATATGTCATAAGTGTGAACATGTGGACTTATTTTCACCACCGTGTTATTCGGAGTATTTGATCGACACAAGCTTCGTTGTGGCCGACAAAAGTAGTGGAGAAACAACTTCGGGGTGGTGGATTCTTGTGCTCTGGTCATAGGCTCGCTAATCAGAAAAACTTTGCTGGCTTCCTCGAAATGGCATCCCCAGTCTCTGAGTGGTTTCCTTTTTACTAAGTAATAAATTAACACATGACTACTCAAATGACATATAAATCACAAGACAAATATACGTTTTGTATATAGTAAGATAATGACAACATTCCTCGCCAAATGTCTAAAGAGTCGGTTTTTAAAAATTTATAACTCTAACTTTGTATTGACACAATTTTTTTCTTGGAGACTTTTCATTCATTTCATGAGAAAACTAATAATCGAGTTTGTCGATAGTGGTGCGATTGGATGCTTAAACAACAACATTTGCTTAGCTTAGTCCCACACTCGAACTTCTTCATTTTAATCGGCCTGATGAACAGCTCGACATGCGAGATGAATTGGAATTCATAACTCCAAAATCATGGCAGTTAGCGTCAATTTCATGATAGTGCGATTGGACCCAACTCCAGGATTGCGGGAGATGGTCTTAACTCTAAGATAGCGGGACTGGACATGA